CCCCCCACCCTGAAGTAAGCATCCCCTGCACCTTCTGCCCCTAGCCATGAGCCCCCTCCCACACACCCAAACTGCTGCTGCTAGCCAGGAGCTGCCTGGCTTGGGCAGCCCCTGAGCCAGCACCAGCCACTGCAGTAGTCACGGACGTCACGGAATCCGTGACCTCTGTCACAGACTCGCAGCCTTAGCAATAACATAGCCTTCCTCCAACACTGCTATATGTGAAAGAAAGCATAGGATCAAACGAAGTAAAAATTTCAATGAACTAACCTATAGCATAGAATCTCTATGGATAGTAATTCCATGCTCTAATAATAATATAGCAATAGGGATACATTACCGACCACCTGACCAGGATGGTGATAGTGACTGTGGGAGATTAGAGAGGCTGTAAAAATGAAAAACTCAATAATAATGGGGGATTTCAACTATCCCCATATTGACTGGGTACGTGTCACCTCAGGACGGGATGCAGAGAGAAAGTTTCTTGACATCTTAAATGACGGCTTCTTGGAGCAGCTAGTCCTGGAACCCACAAGAGGAGAGGCAATTCTTGATTTAGTCCTAAGTGGAGCACAGGACCTGGTCCAAGAGGTGAATATAGCTGGATCACTTGGTAACAGTGACCATAATATAATTAAATTTAACATCCCTGTGGTGGGGAAAACACCACAGCAGCCCAACAAGGTAGCATTTAATTTCAGAAAGGAGGACTGCATAAAAATGAGGAGATTAGTGAAACAGAAATTAAAAGGTACAGCACCAAAAGTGAAATCCCTGCAAGCTGCATGGAAACTTTTTAAAGACACCATAATAGAGGCTCAACTTAAATAAGCATAGAGAACCAAAAAAGTGCCACTGTGGCTAAACAACAGAGTAAAAGAAGCAGTGAGAGACAAAAAGACATCCTTTAAAAAGTGGAAGTTAAATCCTAGTGAGGAAAATAGAAAAGAGCATAAACTCTGGCAAGTGAAATGTAAAAATATAATTAGGAAGGACAACAAAAATTTGAAGAACTGATAGCCAAAGACTCTAAAAGTAATAGCAAAAAGAATTTTAAGTACATCAGAAGGAGGAAGCCGGCTAAACAACCCCAGTGGGGCCACTGGACGATTGAGATGCTTAAGGAGCACTCAAGGACGCTAAGGCCATTGCAGAAAAATTAAATGAATTCTTTGCTTCGGTCTTCATGGCTGAGGACGTGCGGGAGATTCCCAAACCTGAGCCATTCTTTTTAGGTGACAAATCTGAGGAACTGTCCCAGATTGAGGTTTGGAACAAATTGACAAAACGAAACAGTAATAAGTCACCAGGACCAGGTAGTATTCACCCAAGAGTTCTGAAGGAACTCAAATATGAAATTGCAGAACTACTAACTGTGGGATGTAACCTAATGCTTAAATCATCCTCTGTACCAGTTGACTGGAGGATACCTAATGTAATGCCGATTTTTAAAAAGGCTCCAGAGGGGATCCTGGCAATTACAGGCCAGTAAGCCTAACTTCAGTACCAGGTAAATTAGGTGAAACTATGGTAAAGAACAAAATTATCAGATACATAGATGAACATAATTTGTTGTGGAAAAGTCAACATGGTTTTTGTAAAGGGAAATCATGCCTCACCAGTCTACTAGAATTCTTTGAGGGGGTCAACAAGCATGTGGACAAGGGGGATCCCGTAGATGTAGTGTACTTAGATTTTCAGGAAGCCTTTGACAAGGTCCCTCACCAAAGGCTTAAGCAAAGTAATCTGTCATGAGATAAGAGGGAAGATCCTCTTATGGATTGGTAACTGGTTAAAAGATAGAAAACAAAGGGTAGGAATAAATGGTCAGTTTTCAAAATGGAGAGAGGTAAATAGTGGTGTCCCCCAGGGGTCTGTACTGGGCCCAGTGCGAGTCAACATATTCATAAATGATCTGGAAAAAGGGGTAAACAGTGAGGTGGTAAAATTTGCAGATGATAAACAACTACTCAAGATAGTTAAGTCTCAAGCAGACTGGGAAGAGCTACAAAGGAATCTCACAAAACTGGGTGACTGGGCAACAAAATGGCAGATGAAATTCAATGTTGATAAATGCAAAGTATCAGATGTGTAGCCGTGTCAGTCTGAATCTGTAAAAAGCA